GGGAGGTGGAGCAAGCCCCTGTGCTTTGACCTTTCCCCAGCAGGAGTAGCAGAGTGAGGGGGGAGGTGGAGCAAGCCCCTGTGCTTTGACCTTTCCCCAGCAGGAGTGCAGGAGTGGGGGTGGGAGGGACTGCAGGTCTAAGGGGTGGGGAGTGTTCCCCACTTGCTCTGGCCCAGAGCCCTACAAACCCCTTATCCACCCCTGGCTGGGAGCTCCAGGGGTCCCCGCTGCCTGGCAGAGACGGGAACTGTGGGGTACCCCCACAGTGGCTTGGAGCACCTAACCATTGTGGGCAGTGGGGGTACTGCCACTTTTAACTTTTAGGCATCCCGCCACCCAACCCCCTCCACCACAGACAGGGCCGGCTCCAGGGTTTTTGCGGCCCCAAGCGGTGGAAAAAAAAAAAGCCGCGATCGAGAACAGCGGCACTTCGGCGGCAGCTCCACCGTGCCACTTTCTTCTTTGGGGGCATTTCGGTGGCAGGTCTTTCCCTCCGAGAGGGACCAAGGGACCCACTGCCGAATTCCCGCCGAAGAGCTGGACGTGCCGCCCCTTCCCCTTGGCCGCCCCAAGCACCTGCTTGCTGCGCTGGTGCCTCGAGCCGGCCCTGACCACAGACCCCACACTGCCCCAACACACATATACCTCCCGCACCCCCCACTGCCCAGCGCCCCTCCAGAAACCCCCCACTACCCAGAGCCTGTCCACAACCCCACCAGAGACCTGCTCTGCCCCCCGACTGCACTCATCAGTCCCACTGGGAGGTGACTGTGTCTGCTGGGCTGAGCGAGGAGCGATCCAGCAGGGCTGCATGGGGCCATCTCTCGCTCAGCTGACTCTGCCCCACCCCTGCTGGGACCTGGCAAAAATTTAATTTTTAGATGCCCCTAGTCACGTGTCTACTGTGCCTAATGGGAAATCCAGCTCTGCTCATGTGTCCATTCTTCGATATGGGCTGGGCTCCCCAGCTAGACTACTTCTCCCATGATCCACCATGGTCAGGATGCAACAGCCTCCTGACACCATGAGGAGAGACCATGGTGCATCATGGGCTAGGTAGTCTGACCAGGGAACTCAGCTCATAGCGGGAGCATGCGACATCCAAACTACAACTCTATGGCAGCATTTCTGAATCAAAATGTTTTGGTTTTTGATTTTTCACGGGAAATTCAAAATTTTCAGCAGCAAAAAAAGCCCATTTTCAGACCAGCTTTAGTCTGGAGTCCTCACTCCACTCTAAGCCATGGAAGGAGCTTTTCACTGGAGCTGGCACTGCCCTTATCTAGTGTAACGGGGTACAGCACAACCCACTCACTGCACCTCAGACCCTCAAGCATCTGGGCCAGCCTCTGTCACAGCAGAGAACTGTTTGAGTCTTTGGCTCTCTCAGGCCAGGTCTCTGCTAGGAGTGCACTGTCGGGATAGCTGCACCATGTACCGTACAGGTAAAGCACGTCTCATGTGGTTGCAGCTTATACTGGCAAAATTGTGCCTTTTCCAGTACAGCTTATTCCAGCTCACTTCCCCCCCCCCCCTTCCCTCAGTAAAATAAGCTTTCCTGGCAAAACTCTTAAAGTCTCAAATCAAGGTTGGATGTTTTTTTCTGAAAGATTTGCTCTGGGGATTATTTTGGGGAAGGTCTATGGCCTGTGTCATCCAGGAAGCCAGACTGGCTGGTCGCAGTGGTCCCTTCTGGCCATGGAATCTGTGGATCTATGAAAGTTCCCCTCTCCATGTTCAGTCGATTCACAGTCCTTCCCTAGCCATACCCCTGACAGGGGTCACTGCCTTTCCCAAAGGGGGATCCGACTCCTCCAGCTCCAGAAGCAGATCTTTATTTGTGGGGAAAGCCAGGGAAATTCCTCTCTGAGCTATCTCTTAACATTAAGTAACTTCCCAGCCTGGGTAACCGTAGTCGCTGCCCCACAGTACCCTGCATTCCACAGCCATCTGGGTTCTATTCCGTAGGGAGCCTCCACTTCCCCCATCCCTCTGGCTGTTCCTGGACTAGGATTCTGGCAGGGGTCAGGGGAGAGTGATGTTTTACAGGGCAGCATGAAGTGTGTTTGTGCAGTGAACAGGGAGGAGGCAGGAGGGAGCACAAAGGCTGAGAAACATGAGAATTCTCTGGGCTCACTGACTTGCTT